TTAACGATTTTGGCATCGGAATCGACTGTTATTCGTTATTTTATTTTTTTATACATTAATGTTTTGGGGCCTTTTTATATATATATAAAAACTGCACTATAAGGCATCTATCATCTATAAGTATAAATATCAGTGTATTGTGATTCTCTTGTGTTCTAAACAACAGGAAAGAATTTGATAAATGGATGTTTGAGCAAATTTTTTGAAAATACAAAAACCTAATGTAAGTGTTCAGGTGGAGTAACTGTAGATGCATCAGCCCCCACCCTCAGAGCGCCCCCACCCTTAGAGCGCCCCCACCAACTTTCATTACAAAGTTCCACCCTTATGTGTGGGTATGCTGGTCTGACAGGATCTGGAATTTCCCACTAATGCCTAAAAACTAAACAGTTTTTAAATGAGTTCCACCTGTTCCACCACTAGGGGGAGCAGCTGGACCACGTTCCTCCTGAGGAAGGTGGAGAACTTGAGTGAAAACAATTAACTGCCAGAAGACAAACTCCTTTGAGGTCATTGATCGGGGTGTAACCCGGAGAGGATCAGATCTCTCCTACAGAGGGAGGTTTTGTCCCTTAAATGCTCCACTATGTGTGTCATGAGCTGGAGAGCAGCCAGGGAGGAGGCAGAGGAGCAGAACTGATGAAGGTCTCACAGTTCAAGCTCTCTCTCTTTTTTTTCCACCAGAGCCCAGAATGTCGGCTCTTTTTTCGCTGTGTGCTAATGTTCCTCTCTCTTCCTCTCAGGTTGTGAGAAAGCTGCATCAGTTCACCTATGACCTCTTCATCCAAGCCAAGTCTCTGCACATGCAGGTCAACTTCCCAGAAATGATTTCCGAAATTGTCAGCGTTCACGTGCCCAAGATCCTCTCAGGCATGGTCAAGCCCATCCTTTTCCACAACGCCACCTAAAGGTTCCGGTTTCCGTGGAGTGAATCTGGACCACCTTTGGTGGCGCTGGATACGGACCCTGACGCATGCAGGGAATGGAGCATTCTTCCAGCATTTTGTAATCCAGTAACGTCCGCTCTGCTCCTTTCTTTCTGCCCGCTCACTGCATCACACACATCACATGTTTGGGTTTTTTTTGGGGGGGGGGGGCTGATCACAACACTTGCATGCATTCCTGCACTAAAGCCAACCAAGCTGAGCATGTAAAACTTCTCCAGCTGAAAGAGGAAGCCAGCGCCGTAGTGAGAAAACATGTTTGTAGAGTTCTCATCCCCAACGAGCTTTTTGTTTCTGTGTGCTACAGTACGACATTTGAACTAGCTTCTCTCCACAATCAATCTTATTGTCTTCACCTGAGAGGAGTAGAAAAAAACCTGCTTGATTGACAGTTAATAATAAGGCAGTTGTGCCTTGCATGCTAAGAGGAAGAGCTATCTCACCCCAAGGCTTTTAAAAACATTTTTTCAAAGCTGTCCTCATGTCTTAAAAAAGACACACACAAAAAAAATAGTTTGATGTTTTGTTCAGTCTGTTGAAATAAACACCTTTAAAGTGCAAGTGACTGCAGCAAAGCTGAAATCAAGTGTATATTTATGAAAAATAAAAGATGCTCAAGATGCAAGAAGAAAAGGATCGGACATGAAAAGTCGCCTCGACGCGTTTGTCGCTCGACTTTCTAAAGAAATCCGCTTTTTTCTGGGTGCCAAACACTGTTTCCGTCAAACTTTTCATACTGCTGTGGAACTTTTCTACCATTTCTTAAAAGTCTTCTTTGCAAACGCTTTCTGGTGTGTCGTCGTGTGTTTATTGTAGCTTCAATGATAATAAATGTCCAGCAAAGACTCATCAGTGGTCGCTGTGATTCTTGGATTTTAGTGTTAAAGCAGAAAAATATTTAAAGTAAATTCCTGTTTTTTTCTCCTGCATCTTCCTGAAGGTTTAATTCACCTAAAGAGCAAAACCCTGTTTCATCATAACCCTCCATTAAACCTCAACATCTTTAAGTTCTTTGCTTTAGTTAGTGTTTACTTATAAATACTAACTTAACACTTTTATAAATGTTAAACATGTTGGAATATAAATGCAAAAACTGAGTGATTTTGCTCTTTACTTACACTGATAAACTGCTTTATTTAACCAATGAAGTCGTTAGAACAGTTTGCTTTTTTTATTTTCTTAATAAATATATTTGGGCAAAGAAATGTGTTAAATTACAACACATTTTTATCCCTAAATAAAATTAATTGGGTTATACTGATGAAATCTTTAGATACATCAAATATTTGTCAGTTTTTAGGTTGTTAAACCAAAAAACATATCATGAAAAGATAACAGCGTGTATTTAAAATTTATTAAGTATTTTTTTAGTAAAACATATTTAAATTAAATTAATTTTAGGTAGATTAATATAAAAAAAGATTAATAAAATAAAGTCATCAGAAAAGCTTTATTAATCCCTCGTGTTCAATTATTTTCTTGCGTTGCAACAGTTTACAGAAGAGAGAAAAATAAGATTATAAGATCCCTACAGCAAAATAAAATAAGTAAAATGACACCCTCCCAAAATAAACAGTTTAAAATCAGATATAAGAATAAAATAAGTCTGTTTGATTCTTTCTGATAAAAATAAAATAAACATTTTAGGCATAAGATGCAGCAGAAATACAGAAACTTTAAACGTTTTTCTAAGAATATGAATGTAAAGGTTTAACCTGAGAATTGGCCCTGCTGGCTTACTGTAGCCCTGATTGTTGAGTTAGCGCCAAGGCTAACGATGCTAACGGTGGATTTAAGCTACAGTTTTCTTCTCCAACGTATAAAATGGTGTAGCTGCACGTCTTCTGGGCGTTTAGAGCTCATTCTAACATGATGTATTGATTTCTGCATAAATAAGCAGCTTTAGCGTTAGCAGATGATCGACGGGAACCACGGCTAAATCAATTACTACCTTTCAGTTCTGGGAAAAGGTTTATGTTGGATTTGTTACTAGAACAAAGTAGTTAACGTTAAAATTGTAGAAAATCATAAACAACTCTTTTAAAAACGACGTGTTTCCATGGGGATAGTGATAAAAAATGGCCGACGTTTCAAACGCTCCTTTTCACGGTTTGAGGAGGTTTTTATTTTTCATCCACGGATTTTAACTCAACTTTAATTGTCTGCCAAATTGATTAATTTCCACAATATTTTCCAGCAGCCAGAAAGGCTTTAGAGGACGAAACCCAAACAGAAATGACAGCATGAAAGCTTTATTAATGAAGCCAATTACAACAATGACTCATGACAGAAAAGAAGAAGAAGTTTGAAAAACAACTTATTAAAGCTCTAAACAAACCTGCTAAACCCTTTTGAATAAGGAAATCTTTTCACATTTAATTCTTTTATTTTCTCTGGGTTTTTATGTCATCAAACTATTATTAGATTCCTGAAGCTTTGTGCAGATCTGCCTCACTTAGAGCGCCTCTTTTTGTTTTTATCTTTTAAGATGAAAGGGAATGGCTGCCTGATCTAACAGTAAAGTTGAAAGGAAAACATTTTTGTACATAAAGCTACCTAAGTCTGAAACGATTATGCTTTTAAATCAATGCTTCTAAAGGGGAAATAGGCATAAGTGGGTGACATCTGTTGGATCTATTGACATTTGCCCTGCCTTGTAATTGGACACAGATTCCCTCCATGTTTGAGGGCAGTTTTCATTGAACGATCGTAAGTCTGGACGCCTCTGCTCTGAAGGGTTACGCTAAATAAAAGATACATGAAGCAAACAGGGAAACAATGTAGGGTCAACTGACTGAGCTGCAGCAGTCGCTTTGCTGGCGCCTCAGTTGGACACGTTTCCTCTAACGACGGGGGACAGCACTACAAAAAATTTGATTTCTTCTTAAAATAATTTCATTTTTTCTTGAATTGAGGAGGAAAGTGAGACAATGGAACTAGACAATTTACATTTAAGATAAGAAAAAACAATTGCGTTGTCTTATTTCAAGTGCATATTATCTAATTATCTTAACACTAAGAGTGAAAATATTCATCCCATTGGCAAACTATCTCCTTTACCTACTCAAAATAAGGGTAAATGAACTCATTTTAAGACATTTTTACTTATTTCTAGATCATTTTCCAGTGAGAAAACAGTCACAATGCAAAGATGAGCTAGAAATAAGTACAAATTAAATGTTTTAACCTTAATTTAAGTATGATCTGCCAATAGATTGACTATTTATGTTCTTGGATTGAGGAGGTAAAAGAGACATTTTGCCAATGGAACAAGATAATTTACATTTAAAATAAGAAAACATAATTGCGTTGTCTTATTTCAAGAGTATATTATATTAATATCTTATTTTAAGACTAAAAATACTCATTCTATTGGCAAACTATCTCACTTACCTAATCAAATTAAGGGTAAATACACTTAATTTAAGACATTTTTACTCATTTCTAGATCGTTTTTTGCAGTGTAAGTTGTCTTGTTTCATTAGCAAAGCGTCTCATTTACCTCAATTCAAGAAAAAATGACTTATTTAGGTTTCTATTCTTTGCTCTGCAGAATAAGCTGGTTTAAGAAAGATCAAATTAAATACGTTTATTTCCAACCATACAGGCTGTAACTGCTTACACTGCAAAAACCATCTAGAAATAAGTACAACATTTCTTAAAATTAGTGTATTTACCCTTAATTTTAGTAGATAAATAAGACATTTTTAATTGGTGTGATTTAAAAAGATTATTGCTGCAACAAACGATTATTTTGTAAATTGATTAATCTGTTGATTATTTTTTTGATGATTCAGTTAATAATCAGTCAAAGATTCTCTAAATAAAACTTTTTATGAAATTAAACCAAACTTCTGGATAGAGCATGTTGATAGAGAAATATTCTTTATCTTAAATGTAAAATGTTTATATATATTTTTTCAGTCTTGGTATAATTCCTGCTCTAAGTGCGTCGCTCTGTCAGCTAAAGGCAGGTTTTATATTCTATATATTCCATTTAATGATTAATCAATTACTTAATTGGTTGACGACATTTTTCAATAATTGATTAATCTGATTAATTGTTTCATCCCTAAGAAAAGATATTAACTTAATACCTAAAACCTTTTCTGAAAAGATGTCAAAGTTGAATATAGGAGATTATTTTAAAACATTAGGAAAATCCTATAAATATAACATTTCTAATAAATAACCAACGGTAATTTGCTGATAGTTGAACATGTCTGGAGTTTCTACCTGATGTTTAAGATTCTGTTTGAAAAATCCTCATCTGTTCAAATTTAAAAAGGTTTATGACTTTATAAACAAACTTAAATTAAATTAGCAGCTCCCTGAACGTTAAAGCGGCGGTCCAGCTGCTTCTGCAGCCTGCGTCCCACTTAGCGCTCCTCCAGAAACAGGCAGAAACTCTCAACACCAGGGACTGTTTTAGGAGGATAAATGTTTGCTGCCGTCTGGCTGCACATCAACACAGACTGAAGAGCTAAAGCTTTGTCTGCTGCTCATAATACGCTGACTGGATATAAATAAAAAATAACCTAGAATAGTTTATTTAGAGTTCCCATCCGGGTGCAGTTATGTCTTTGTGAAACAGGACTACATGATTTTATAGTTTTCACAAGGAGCTGTCAAAGTGTGGAGACGAGCAGGCAATTATCGGAGAGTTTTTTATAGCAGCAGTCATTCAGGCCGGTCTGCAGACCGTTTTATACTTTCCTCATGGTTTATCTGCTCCATGTGAAGATGGTAGAAAATATAGGCTTTCAACATCTAAACATAACCCTTTAACTTTATTCATTCACACAGAATATCATTCATATTTGTCAATATTTGATGTTCAAATATATTTTATGTTTTTGGTTTGTTTTCTTAAAGCCCGGCTTCAGTCAGTGAACCTCAGTGAATGGCTGAATGCACTGCAAAAATGTATTTATTTATAACCCCTAAATTTTGTAGGTTAATGAGATGATTTGTCAATGGAATGAGTATTTTTACTCCTAAAATAAGATAATTAGATAATAGTCACTTGAAAATAAACAATGCAATTGTGTTTTCTTATTTTAAATCTAAATTTTCTTTTTCCATTGGCAGAGTGTCTCTTTTATCCTCTCAATCCAAGAACAAATGCACTTATTTTAAGAAAAAATGACTTATCAAGATTTCAATTTTTTGCAGTGTGTAGTGAAAGAGTGAAAGCAGTGTAAGGCGCCTCTGGCTTGATGAAACGCTTCATAAAAGACCATTTACTTTTTACTTTGGGAAAAATAAAGAGCCTCCAGGGAAAACTGCACTGAAAAAAGTGACTTTTTGGTGCCGGAAACTTTATTATTCGTCATAATTTCTACTCTGTATTTTTAAGCTTCAGTAAAAACTAGAAAAATTAAACGTTTCTTTTAATGTAACACATGGATTTTGGGGAAAGAGTAAGTTTTACTTAGATTTCCTTATACTATTTAAATGTTTAATATGCTATAAATACACATATACCTAAAAATACTACATTAACTTTACTGTAAAAACATGGTGGTTTTGAAACGTACTGTAGCTCCCAGCAGGACTGATTCTGCTCTGAGTTCAGACGTTACAGGATCACACAGAGCAAGAGGTCTTCCCGACGACGGTCATTTTGGACGGGTGCAAAAGCTCTACAGAAGCACAGGGACTGATACACTGCAAAAAATCTAAATCTAGATAAGTCATTTTTTCTTAAAATAAGTGCATTTGTTCTTTGATTAAGGAGATAAAAGAGATATTTCGCCAATGGAACAAGACAATTTATTTTTGCAATAGGAAAACACAATTGCATTGTCTTATTCCAAGTGTATGTTATCTAATTATCTAC